TGATGTCAGACTGCCCAGTATCTTTTCTCTTGGTCTCCTGGAAGCCCCCAGTCAGTCGACTCACTAGATGCTTGTTGGTGAGGCAGTGAGTCTATTCTTGTCCCCCCCACCCCCCCCCCCCCACCCCCCACAATGGGGACCCCGAACCTGGTTACATATACTGGTCTGTCTTGAGCAGTTACATACACTGGTCATGGGCAGTTACAGTTATGTACACATTGTCTGTCTGTTACAGGAGGTGGTTCTGCATTCAAGGTAATCAACTGGTCTATCGCAAACGCTCCAAAGATAACTTGACCATTATGGAGGAGGACCTGAGGCTGTGCAACATACGCCAACCTGCGGAGTTTGATAGGCGTTTTTGTTTTGAAGTGCTTTCACCAACAAGGTATGCCATTTCTAATTGTGCTTGTAGTTTTTCAGTTAAAATCCTGTTGTCTGAACCAGTTGTGCCCAGTCAGATAATACTTGTTCACTCTTTTAAAGGTATGCAGTGAACCCCCTACTTGTTTTATAGTTATAGTGAAGAGAATTTTGAAATAACTAGACTTTAAACATGGTCTGCAGTCCAACAGTTGGTAAACACTGGTATGGACAATTATCATCAGGTGCCCTGCCGACTGGCATGGGCTAACAGGCATCTCCACAATCTGCGATCTCCCGCAGCATGAATCAGTTTGTTTGCTGACACACCTCCATGCCATGCAACAAAACTGTCAAGAATCTTCTCTCGTTGTCTTCCTCTATCCCTCCTTCCACAGATCTTTCCAGTGGTCACAACATGTTCCATTTTCCCTCCTCTCATCACATGGCCGAAAAATGATTACTGTCTCCTTCTGATGTCTGCGATAAGTTGTCTTCGGGCTCCCGCCTCTTTCAAAACTTCTTGGTTACAATAAAAAGCATAATTCAAGAAACATTTTATAGCAAATTTTTTTTTTTTCGCATCTGGAAAATTTTATTCCAAAAATAATTAAAGCAACTGGCAAAATTTATAAACAGATAGCAGTATTACACTCAGATCTTTTTCTGTACACCCCCCCCCCCCCTCTCTCTCTCTCTGGGGCCCTGAAACCTAAACAGCAGAACAGTTTTGCTTCTGCGCTTGCTCTTAAAATGGTGGTTAGCATGATGAGTTGTGGTTTACAGCTTGCTGTGTGGTTTTCGACCCAACGCATCCCATTTCGGCAAACTTGTAACTGAACACCTTTTGCAACATGATTTTTATGGGACAGTGGGTCTCCCCCTTCCCTCTCCCTCCCTTCTCCTTCCCCCCTCCCTTCTCCTTCCCCCCTTCTCCTTCCCCCTCCCCCTCCTCCAGTAGGGCCTTAGAGCCCATACATGGATAGCAACCACTGAAAAGATTGAGCACCTCTATGTTTACAGCATAAAGAGATACCAAGAAGTTCACAGTGACTTCCTTGGCACTGCAAGAGTTAACAATTAGCAGTAATCAAGTTCGCCTCCCAGTTTCCAAGTATTACCCTTTTGCAATATACTAGATTAGAATTGCAGGTAAATGTGATGATCTGGGAGAGAGGAAGTTTAAAGCAGCAGACGTCAGGTGTTAATCACTGAGAGAGTGCCTCTATGGAACATTTATTGCAGTTTCCTTAATTGTTTTTGTGCTCTCAGCAAATTGCTTAATTTTTTTTTTCAACATTCTAGAAAAATTGCTAAAATTATTTTTATATTTTAATCAGTTTGCTAAATGGTTTTTGTATTTCTGGGCAAATTTGTAAAGTTTTTGCATGCTCAGCAAATTGCTAAATTTGTGTACTGTGCAAATATCTGTGTGAGACAGAGAAACTATGAAAATGACAGTGAATAAGAAAGATAAAAGACTGAGTGCAAGATGACTCAGGAGTTAGAGACTGACTGGAGGCAATTGAAGTTTGTTGAGTGGGTTCGTTTTCAAGTGGAACTTCACCCAGGGAGATTAGATTTACCTTGATTTATTTTCACGATCTTTATCTGTCCCCAATAAAAGTTTAACCCTCTCACCCCATAAAGTCACAAAACCAACAGTCTCCCCCCCCCCCCCCCCCCACCCCCCCACATGTACTTTTCCAACTTGTCTATAGTGACATGGTTCGATCCCAGCTGCAGGCCATACACCTTGTGTTGGTTTCGACAGTGGTATCAGAGCCGACCGTCCCGAAAGCAATGACAAACTACTGGACATTAATTTGCCTAGAGAAACCACACAACAGCCAGGGGCTGCTGGGGTTGGTTCTGCAATGTCCTGCTAAGGCTACGCAACTAACATTTTATAGTGACATGTTTGCAAGATGTGTAGTTAAAGCTGTTAGCTGAGTTCACACCTGTGCAAACATTTATGAGGTCAGGATGTGAATATATTGACTAAAAATAGCAGTTAGGGGTTTTCCCTTCAAACCACAGGGGTGTTTTTAAAGCCAAATTTTGCCTCAGTGATAGTTGTCATGGAGTCACTGCCTTGGTCACACTATACATACAATTATGTTGTCATGGTCCAGGTTTTTTTTTAAAAACATTTGTGGGGTGAAAGTTAATTGTTTTGCCCTCTCATGAAGTTTTTGTGGATTTACTCTTTACAGTTTTCAAACTACTTTATTTTCCTTTGTCAGCTGTCTTAATCTTTCAGTAAGTAAATACAGTTTAGGTTTTCTTTAAAATTGACATTGGCTTCCTGTACAGTCTAGCCTAAAATCTTCTTCTTCTTCGTGTTCTCCAGCTGTAAACTCTGGCGGTAAGTTCTGGTTGTTCATCCACTTCTGGACTGCAGTCATGTTCCAGAACCTGAGTGTTGTGTGTTCATCTGTTTTAGAGATCTGACACATTTGTATGCAGACTGCTGGTTCCTTGCCTCTTAGATAGATACACTCCAACTTTGAAGGAAGCACCCAATTAGTTGACTTTTAAGACATGCTTTTGCGTAGGCAGTGGGTCTATTCTTGTTTTCCCACAATGTTTCCCTGGAACCCACATGGGGATAGCCTAAAAGGAGTACAGGGATTTGCTATGGAAAGTACAAACATATTGACAATACCATGAATCACATTACAATTTTTCTTCTTTCTTTCGTCAGTACCAGCTTTGTGGCACTACATGTCACAGTTTATCATACGATAGGTAGCCAAGCCAGAGCACACTCAGCTGCTTGGTATGTTGTGACCTTAAGATGTCCATGACTCTGTTGTCGCCAAACAAGAACACTAGCCGGGTAGCCAAAGTAGAATAATAAACCAACACAGAACTGGTGTCGTCAGCCGCTACACGCTGCAGGATTTACTGAGGAGGGGATCTGATCACTTATGGACTGAGCGGTTCTACGTGCAATGAGGAAAATTTGTCGACTAACAAACTAACTATGACTCTGTCAAGCATGCTAGAAGATAGTGCACCACAGAGAGACTTGTCACTTAGACACAGTGAGAGGCTGCTCTTGCAGCAGTGGATAAATGGAATATCTAAGGCTGTGAATACCAGCATCTATATAGCACACACCAAGGCTCACAGCAAATGCTTCTTCAGGACCTGATGCTGAAAGGCAGAAGAGGATCTAAGAGAAGTTTTATTGGGAAATGAAAGGATAAAGATGAAGAACCAACCATATATCCAGTAAGTCAGGTCAGGGTCTTTGCTTATTTTACCTTCAGTTGGGTGCCATGATGGCACATTAGCCAAGCGCTTTCCTACTGGGTCAAAAGTCTTAAGTTCAAATTCTTGCAAAGATGGATAACTGAGCTGGGCTTCCAGGTTGTTGCAATAAACTGGATACCAGGAGATGTCATAGGAAATATAGGTGAAAAGTGACCTTTGACCCCCACATCAAAGTCTGCATGCCAGTTGATCTATAAATATTTGGGCATAACCTGCACTCACTCCTAGTACCATATATATATATATACATATATGCTCAGTATGTCAGTGACCTCCCCTTTCTTATTCCCTTGATTTATCTATCCACCCAATAATCTGTCTGTCCAGTTATACATTTTACTCTTTACTTGTTCATTTTACTCTTTACTTGTACATTTTACTCTTTACTTGTACATTTTACTCTTTACTTGTACATTTTACTCTTTGCTTGTACATTTTACTCTTTACTTGTACATTTTACTCTTTACTTGTACATATTGTTCTTTACTTGTATATTTTACTCTTTACTTGTACATATTGTTCTTTACTTGTATATTTTACTCTTTACTTGTACATTTTACTCTTTACTTGTATATTTTACTCTTTACTTGTACATTTTACTCTTTACTTGTATATTTTACTCTTTACTTGTATATTTTACTCTTTACTTGTATATTTTACTCTTTACTTGTACATATTGTTCTTTACTTGTATATTTTACTCTTTACTTGTACATATTGTTCTTTACTTGTATATTTTACTCTTTACTTGAACATTTTACTCTTTACTTGTATATTTTACTCTTTACTTGTACATTTTACTCTTTACTTGTATATTTTACTCTTTACTTGTATATTTTACTCTTTACTTGTATATTTTACTCTTTACTTGTACATATTGTTCTTTACTTGTATATTTTACTCTTTACTTGTACATATTGTTCTTTACTTGTATATTTTACTCTTTACTTGTACATATTGTTCTTTACTTGTATATTTTACTCTTTACTTGTATATTTTACTCTTTACTTGTACATATTGTTGTTTACTTGTATATTTTACTCTTTACTTGTATATTTTACTCTTTACTTGTATATTTTACTCTTTACTTGTAAATTTTACTCTTTACTTGTATATTTTACTCTTTACTTGTATATTTTACTCTTTACTTGTATACTTTACTCTTTACTTGTATATTTTACTCTTTACTTGTATATTTTACTCTTTACTTGTAAATTTTACTCTTTACTTGTATATTTTACTCTTTACTTGTATATTTTACTCTTTACTTGTAAATTTTACTCTTGACTTGTACATTTTACTCTTGACTTGTACATTTTACTCTTGACTTGTTATTGTAAATTGCTGACATTCCAGGAGCCACATACTGCAGGCAGACTCGGATGAAGAATGCCAGCTGTGGATCAGTGCCTTGAATGCCAGCATCAGCCATGCCTACAAGGACACACTCAATGCGGTCCTGGATAAACGGGTAAGATGTCACTGACTGATACATTTTAGAAGAAGTGATTAGTTCCCAATGATTCTGTCTGGGTCAATGATCTTTTCTTAAAGTTTTGTTGGACTGTCAGAACTTGATGAAGTTGGACTTGTCATATTTACATATTGCTTTTGGGACTCTGAAATTCCACATTCCTATAATATTTAGTTGGAATCTGAAATGACATATTCTCATATTGAATTCTGAAATGATACATTCCTATATTATATTGTTGGACTTTGAAATATCGTGAAACATCATGAACCCATATTGCCTTTTTGGACTCAGCCATGGCATATTGCTATATTTATTGCCTTCATGGATTAGCATGCCAGATTTCATACTGTCTTGTTAAAATTTGGTCATGCTCTACATCTTCATGACACAATGTTGTTACATCTTGCAGGAGAACAAGAAAGCTGTGAGTGCCTCATCTAAAGAATCTAGTCAGAGTGAGGCAGCTACTCCACCGGAGGGTAGACAGAGCAAAGCAAAAGTGTAAGCTGTTTTTAAAATCTTTTCTACAGGCATTAGATATGTCAGAGGATATTTTCTATAGGTGTAAGCTGTTTTAGAGAATCTTTTCTACAAGTGTTAGCTATTTTAGATAATCTTTTCTCTGAATGTTTTTCATCTCCATTTGTCTTGTCTGGTGGGCTCTGGAGAAAGAATTGTATTGTTATACTGTCAAGAGGTTTTCTTAGTGTATATCATATTCCGAACCAGTGTCTTTCCCTCACCTCTTGTGTTCAGAATAAGCTTCACATTGGTGATTCTATCACACCATTGTAGTCTGTATATTCTTTGCAAGCTGCGTCCGTGGCTTAGACTTTGCGTCTCTCTTGTAATTCCAACGTAGTGCGATCGAAACCCACTGCTGGCTGCATGGATTTTTATCATATTATGGGGCGTCACAAGTCGACCCAGCCTAAAATGGGTACCAGGATGGCTGTCCTGGGGAAGTAAAGTAAAGACGGCCGGCATAATGCTGACCACATTACCCACTTAGTGCCAATGGTCTGTAAAAATATGGGCGCTCTTCCCATATTCCTGATATGCCCAATGGCGTGAAAAGGGAATCTTACTTTACTTTAATATATTCTTTGCAAACAACAGTGAATTCTTTTGGTACTAAGTAACTGACTACATCTTTGTTAATTATTCCATTGCGTCATTTAGTTTATGATTGCAAGGTTTACTGAGACCCCTATGGATCATCACCAGAGCTACGGTGTTTTTGCTTTGTGCGATGCTCTTCGATGAGATAGGGTGAAATATGCCAGGCAGTAAATAGTGCTATCTTTTGTTTGAGCCTTCTTTGTTCACATTTACAATTTCCAAAAAAATGCTCTGATCATCCACACAGTTGTTATATATTCAAGTGACAAATACTTTGGAAACATTAGGTTTAAGTAACGATTTGTGGGGCAGAAAGAGTTAATGAAAGTGTGTAGTTTCTTATTGTCTGACTTGTGTGCAGGCGAATGGAGCAGCTGCTAGTCATCTCAGGCAACTCCCGCTGCTGTGACTGCGGTGCCTCTGAGCCCAGGTGGGCCAGCATCAACCTCGGCATCACCTTGTGCATAGAATGCTCTGGGATTCACAGAAGTTTTGGTGTGCACTTGTCAAAGGTAAATTTATTAACTCCTTTTATTTTTGGCCATTAGCATGTTAGATTTTACATCTTTATGGCTTAGTTTTTCTTGTGCAAGAGGTGTTTAAAGGCAAGAGAGATATTACTTTTTCTAAATGTTCCCAGCGGTAAAGTCCCGCAATAAAATCCTGGTTGTTCATCCAAATCTGACCTTGTTCCAGGATTTAGGCTTATTTATGTGCAGACTGTTGATCATAAATTTGGTCTATAATCCAAGTCATCCCATTGGAGGATGTAATTTTTCGTTAATTGAAGCCCCACCTTCGCTTTTGCTGGGTGCTCTGAATATAGCTGGGCCACAGTTGTGACCATAACGGCTAAAAGGGGTTTCTGAGACCTCTCCATGGTGATCCTTATCCGCTTGGTGGCACTTTGTATCACCGGGTGTTTATCGCTTGTGTGATGTCCAAGTGGGGTACAACAAGCAAGGAGTCGAGTCATGGAGTCATCAATCCTAACTACAAATATCAAATCATATCTGGCCCATCTAAACACTGCACAGTAGTAAACAGTACCAAAACTAGTACATGAGCGTTGGTAGGACTAGTCAATTCTGTAAAGCTAAAATATCCCCTTCGCAGGGATTTCCCCCCCCCCCCTTTTTTTTAAATGACTTTGACTCCTACATTGATACAGCCTCAAATAGATACCAGTTACTGTCCTGGGAATAACAACGGTCGGCGAGATGTTTTGTTCATAACATCATTCAAGTGGTGGCTGGTCTATAAAAATTATAGGTCTAGCCCTATGTGCCCAATACTCCTGAAGGTGTGGAGAGGGCCCTTCACTTTACTTACTTACAGGAATTTGTAATGGCCTTTTGCATAATGAAGAATAATCTGTCCAGTCTTTGTCAGTTGAGACAAGACAGAAAATTCTCAGGAGCTATATAAATCCTATCCTGATATGTGGAAGTGAATCATGGACACAATGGGGAAAATCTTCATTCTTTGGTCATGTCATAAGAAGGAGAAAACTGGAGTACATCGTGATGGTTAGCAAGAGAGGCAAAGGGAGACGATGCTGGACAGTTTACATCATGGCATGGAAGACCACTATCTGTGTCAGAATTGATGAAAGATATATGAGACAGAATGTTGTATAAAGACATGACTACCAGCGCTACATGGCATAGACTATAAGAAAAAGAAAGGCCACCTAAAAATTTGACACCACTCTGTGGAGGGACATATAATTCTGTGCCATCTGGCATGGCACATGTTGGTGATTATTGGAGTATCCTTTTTTGCTTCCTGATGCCATTACTGCCCTTGCCTCTTCTTACTTCTTTGACAGCATTTCAAGCCCCTGAGTGAGTAGGTGAGATTCAACACCACTAGGGCATCACAATGAGCAATCAACACCAGGTGACACAAAATGCCACCATGCGGATGAGGATCATCCAGGAGAGGTCCTAGAAACCTCATTTAACCCATAGGCTGGCAACAGCCAGGGTGGGGCCTTAAAACAACCAAAAAATAAAAACTGCATCTGACATGGAATGCAGAGAGTTAAATAAAGCCTGGTGGCTAACTGCTGCTATGCAGATATCACCCATCTCCCTTTATCTCTCTGTCTGGCCTCTTTCCAGTTGGTGCTGCAAGTGTGTATTATCTCTTCACCTTCTTGATCTGCCTTGGAACATAATCCCATAACTGCTTAAATATCTGTTTCATTGCAAAGGGAGGTTTTAAAGAAGGTCAGCTCTATGATTCAACCCTATCGGCCTCGAGGACCTGAGTGTCTATGTTCTCTACCGTGTGAACTATCCAGCTCGGAAGCCTCTACTGATAGTTAAACTAGTGCCGGGATAGCTCTCACGGTAATTGGAAAAATACGAGCTTCCACACCATGGCAGTTTAGAGACTTCTTTGGGAAAGTCCATTATCACTACTTTAAGATTTATTGTAGAATCTATTGATTTCTGTTTTGACAATATCTGGAAATATTAATTGCAGTTGATTTATTTTGTTTGATTAATTGACAGGTGCGGTCCATCACATTGGACACCTGGGAACCAGAGCATTTGAAGGTGATGCTGGAGCTGGGTAACGATGTGGTCAATAGAATTTATGAAGCAGATGTAGATGAATCCGTGGCTGCAAGGGCAACCCCAGACTGTAGCAGGTTTTATTTTTGTCTTGTTTATAAAACTGTATTTGCACTCCAGTATCTTTTGGGGGAGACAGAACACTTGTGATGTTGATTCTCTCTTGTTACCTTAGCTACAATTCGGAGGAGCAGATGGATCACCACAGTCTGGTGAGATTGATGCAGTTGGGGGTGACGAGAGGTTCTGGCAGATGCTCGAGGCTCAGAGGAAAGACAAGACGGATGTTTAATTAGAATGCTACTGGCACCATTAGTATCGGAACTCTTTGCTGACTGCTGAAGATAGGGACGGAGCGCTTATGGGGATACCCCGAGTGCTGTGATGTCGGTTCTTGAATCAAATCAAATCAAATCAATGTTACCTTGGTTAAAAGCAATGGAAAACACATAACTACTATAAAAGCTGTAACATATTGTCATATATATGTCATTGCATATCCCAGTCCCAGATGAGAAAGAAGGAATGGTGGGGAAAGGGTGCTGTTGTACAGCAGAAACTCACATAATGGGAACTGAGGACATAAAGACCTCCAAGAGAAAGCCTAAAGCAGATGTTGATAAGAGAGGCCAAAGGTGCTGGACTGGATTCCACTCATGACATCGAAACAATTGCACAGATTAGATTGTAATGGTGGACTGGACTACGAGCCTTATATGACGTATAGTGGCATAACAGGATGATGATGAATATATTGTAACAATAAGACCCAATTGCAGCAGGTTGTAACCTCTTCAATTTCTTCAGCTCTGGGTGTCATTTTACCATGAACAGTTTTTCTTCTTATCTATATGTGTGCACACTTGTATGTGTTATTTTTCTTCTGTCTCAAACTCGTTACATGCCAGACAGTTTCACGTATTTCTAAGGGGGGAAGTAACCCTTGTGGGTCATAATTGGCCAGTGCTTCCAAAGAAGCTAAATGTACACAGATTGTATAAAACATACATAAGCAAGGTCACCTGGGATGCAGATTTAGTGCTGTCAAAGAAACAGAATGTATACACATTGTATAAAACGTACAATGAAGAGGTCACTAGGGAGGAAGTTTTTTTTTTTTTTTAAAGTGTGATTTGATCTAGTATACTTTAAAAAAAAACATGAACTGATTATTTGGATTCTCAGGGTTGTGCAGTCTCTATGCAATTGTTGGACTAAAAAAATGTTTAATGGATCCTTATGTACATACATAATTATGATCATTTTTCTTCAGTGTTCCAAGCCCTTGAGGTTAATTGTTGCAGAAATTTAAAAAAATAATTTCTTTCTGGATTCTTTGGTCTGGTGGGTACTTTCCATATCTTTGGCAGTATAGCTCATGTGCTTTTGCTGTCTAACTACTTTGTATCTTCTTCTTTACAATCCCTTCTGAATGGGAAAAAAATGTAGGAATTTACAAGCAAAGCAACATGCAAATTCAGCTCATATCATAGCCTAGTATGTATGAGGCCTTATATTTTACTCCCTAATAATGGTAACTGCCAAGGAATGTGTTTTTTTTAAATAATTAAAACAACATATCTGATACAACAAAATGAAGTCAGTTGCAGTGAGAAATAAATAGTGTTAAAATGCCATATGAAACCATTATTGTTATATACATGTGAGACATGGACAAGAAGCAGAAAAACATCTGCTCCAAGCAATGTGATTTTTGAAAAGAATGCAGAGGATATGAAAGAATAGAAGAACAAACAGGGCAGGTCCTCCTCATGACAGTAGAAAACGGTTAACTGGTTAGAGCAGTTAGACATAATGTTTTTGGACTGTTTATGAGGAGAAATGAACTTGAGAATTTTGTTACAAATAGAAAGATTTGTGGGAGTAGAGCTAGAGGAAGGCAGAAAGATAAAACACCTGAAGGGCTTGGCCATACAGATGGAGTGAGACCTGAATGAACACCCGACTTGGTATGGGATTATGTTGATAGTGGGATATGGCGAAACAAAATCTACTATGCTTATAGACACAGCATCTGATGTTGATAATGATAAGAATGATAATGATAAGGATAATGATGATTGTGATGATGATGTGCCTGAAATTTGGTTTATTTGTAACATTTCAGAGTGGCAAGAGAAGCCTGGATTCGAGCTAAATATGTCCAGAAAGCATTTATTAAAAAGCTTCCGGGAATCAACAAAGCCAACTGTCAACGAAAATGGAGTGTCCGGAAAAAGTTTAAGCACTCGCCTGCCAGGAAGTTAAAGAAAGACCAGACTGAAGACATAAGCATCAAATCTGTTGATTCTAGCAGTGTCAAAAAAGATGATGCATCTTCAGTCTCAGATTCCGAGGACCTGACCAGCGGCCTCATGGAAGGTGGAGACTCTGGGAATAGTAGAGGTTTTGTTTTGCTGCTTTTTTTGCTTTCTGTGTGCCAGATTGGATTTCAGAAGTTGTTTTATTCTCCACCATGAGATGTCTTAGTGTTGTGGTTAGTGCAATGGTGTATTTGTGCTGTTTCAAAAGCATTGGTCTACTAGAGCTATTTGAAAAAGAAAAAAAACATTCAACTATTTCAGTACCAGGTTTCACAGCCAGGTGTTCCTTAGTTTCGCAGAGAACTATCTTTGCAGTGACTAACTTAGCAGTAGATGTGGCAAGATGTTTCAGTGTAAATAACCAGGAGTAAGTAAACATAATTTAATGGCTGGGATTCATCTGGGCATGTGTTAATAATCCACCACACACCATGCAGTACTTGGGACTCAATGAGTTAAGGGACTGTTTTGCATGCCTAAAGCAGCATGGAGTATATAGAGCTAGTGCCATATTTGTAAAGACCAATCGGCGCTTGATGGTTGTTGGGGTCAGCATCATGTCACCCACCTTTACATCCTAGGACCATTCCCTTTCCAAAGAAACACAAAACAAAAAAAAACCTAACCTCTACAGTGTGACAGCTCCACAGTGTGACAGCTTCACAGTGTGGCAGCTTCACAGTGGGGCAGCTTCACAGTGTGGCAGCTTGACTGGCTGTGGGCACTAAATCCTCAGACTCATGACCCCCTGTCCTTAAAAGTGATGACAACTTAAAGGAGGTGAAAGTACACAAGGTGGGAGAGCTGGTGAGAGACTTAGTTTCTTTCAGGCTGACAATGATGAGAGCGACACTCTGCAAAAGACCTGCTATATGATGATGAAGATGGAGAATAAATACTAGGAATCTAACTACCCAGGCTGATATTTCATATTTTACTATATTTTTCCTGTGTATAAGTCAGCCCTATATATAAGAAAAGCCTGATTTTTAGAGGCTAAAAATTTTGGAAATAAATATTTTATACATATTCTGCGTATAAGACGACGACCATTTTTAAGAATGAAAAAGAAATGTTGAAAACATCTTATACAATGCAAAAATTGTTTCCCTCTCTCTCTCTCTTGTCTTGTCCACAATTGCCTCACAGCGTAGTGGGGAGTCGCAGTTTTCTATCCTGGGCCAGGTGTGTTGCACGTGTTGTTGTTAGTCCGTGTTGCCTCAGGACCTCTGATATATTGTCTATCCATCGTACTTTCGGTCTGCCTCTTGCTCTAGGGCAGTAGTGTTGTTTCCTTTCAACATAATAAAAGAAATATTGGGGCTAATTTTTTTTTTTTAATGTGAAATTTGAACTTCTGAAATCCAGTCTACTTGTGTGTTATGTTTCTAACCGTTCAACTTACTTTTTTTTTATAGTTTTGTCTCAGTCTGTATTTAATGTGTTTCAGTTACTTTCACATTGATTACCAGTGCATTCTGTCTACAGAAATGTTGAATAATTTTGTTCTGCTAACTTACTTAATTCATCTTTAGAGCTATTTTTATTTACATTATTTAAAGACAGTTATGTCAGTAATGATTAGGTTTTTTTTTTTTTGGGGGGGGGGGGGGGGGGGGGGGGGATGTTCTAATCAAGGAAAGTGTTTTAGTTTACTGGCTAGCATGATTGCCTCTGGCCTGCTGGTCATATGTTCAGATCCATTTTTTTAAAAGGCACTAATTTTTTTAACGGTTGCTTCAAGATGGATTAAACCAAAATTAGTACAAGAAAATGTTCTTGAAATAAAGGCAGTTATGTATTTTTTAGACCTTATCAATGGGCGAAGAAAGGGGGAATCCCTCTATTCACAGTAGGCCTCAAAGTATGGGGGAAACCCATTAATGTAATTTTTCAAATGTGCATTTGATGTTAACTTATTTATTTCATCCTTTTTTTTTTAAATGGGTTGGTTTTTTTATTTTTTTATTTGGCGCATGTTTTTTCTATTACATCTATGCAGTGATTGCAACCTGGAGATTCTTGCACAAGAATGTAAATGACTCACACTTTTGCTTTGTTTCTGTTCACTGGTCTCATTTTGACAGTAACTTTCTTGCTTTGATGGTTTTGTTTGCTGCCGCTTTGAGCTTCAGACAGTAATCACTGCCGCTTTGAGCTTCAGACAGTAATCACTGCTGCTTTGAGGATTGCTTACATACTTTATATTTGATTACAGAGAACGCATCAAACGTTCAGGCACCTACACAGCACAATGTATGGATGATGCGCCGATTTATATATACTTTATATACTATATTATGGGCCTATGATGCTAAACCCCCTATATATATAAAGATATATATATAATATATATATATATATATACATGTATATATATATATATATATATATATATAAAGTTTAGCTTTTAAATATGCATAAGGTCAGCCTGCTATAGTAAACAGAGCTGTTAAAGCTGTGAAATATGTGCATCAAGGAAACGAGGACATCCAAGAGAAACCCTTAAACACATGTTGATGAGAGAGGCTAAAGGGGCTGGACTTACTTCCATCCAGGAAGTGGAGGCAGTCACTGCTGCCTTCCCCTGGATTGTGAATCGGCTTTACATACATGTCTTAATTGTAACTGACTCACGGAGTATGTTAAGAAAGATGGAGCAGCAGGTATACTCAGTGGCAAGCATCGCTTCAAAGGTCCTGGGTAGTTAGTATCCTTTGAATATTTTTTCCAGGTAATGCTGGTGTGTTGGGAAATGAGCAGGCAGATAGACTCACTGGTTCTGCACTACTCAGTGGAGAATTGATGAATGACAAGCTAGATGTTCTGAAGGCCCTTTGAAAGCGAGTAAACAGTGCAGAGGCACAAACAGATCATTACGGTCTGAGGAGAATGGCACTGCAGGGAGTTACTAGGGGATCTGACCGACGCTCAGCACTCAAGGGAAAGGCAAGACAGATGTACAATCAGACAGTTACTGGTACCATCGGAATTGGAACTCTTTATTTGCGGTTGAAGATTGAGACGGAATGCTTATTGGGGTGTCCAAAATGCTGTGATGTTGATTCTTTACTCAACATTCCATCAAGGATGTCAAAAAACTTGCACAGGATAGAATGGAGTAGAGGACTTGGCTGTGAGCCCTACGTGATGTATAATAACATAACATATTCATGGTGTGCTTCATCATCACTCATGAAATACCTTATCTCTCTTTCATGATAATTAACAACAGTGGTCATGGTTCACCATCTTGCATGATTCTTAATCTTGGATCAGATCTGAATTCTTGTCTCACATGATGCCCAGAGTCCTGGATCACATCTGTGTTCTTGCTATCTATGTTTTTTTCCCCTTGCACCTTTTCCATTAAGTTTGCCAGTTGCCAAGATGTTTAATTTTCTCAATGGACAGACAGATCCAGACTGCCTTATCTGATTTCTCTAATTAGTTCATGATTATCTTTGAGAGCAGCCCTGCGTATAGCTGCAGGATTAGCTGGGCCAGATTTTAATTTGCTCTTCTTTGATTCCATCTTCCTTCTCTGATTCACTTTCTTGTATGCCATCTCTTTCCCACTTTTTCAGTCCCTCTTCTCACCCATCCATTGTTGACTCCTGCGGTCTCTCCCCCCACCCCCACCCTCCATTCCTTACTCTCTTGTTTCTTCTCTTTCTTCACTCTTTCCCTTCACCCTCCACACTTACCCATGCTGTCTGTCTATTTTCTTCCTTCCCAATTTCTCTCCTTCCCTCTCTTTTACTCTCTCCTGCTGTCTTAACTCTTCCTTCCCATCAGCTTTTCTGTCTCTCTGCTTCACTGTTCCTTAGTCATTCTCTGCAGCCTACTTTACATTACTGTGCTCTGTACAGTTTAAAAACTGTTTTGTAAGTTAATGTAGAACAGGATGAAAGTCCATTGTGATAGTTATAAAATATATTTATAAATCAATATTGTGACTATTTTGGAAGTCATATGACATTTTTTTATATTTTTTTTTGCACAAACTATTTCTCCTGCTGCTGTTTGCCAGCTATTTCATACCTTGTATATATACTGTAGGAAAGAACTGTACATTTAATTTGATATTTTCCAGAAGTTATGTCTCATAAAGAAAAAAATTGCCCTTTACCAAAGGAAAGGGAAACCTTCACAGCTTCAGAGACAGAGGTTCTGAAAAGATTAGGAATTAAAAGAGAATTCTCTTTGACAAGGAAATAGGAGACAAGTATAATATTTCTGCCTTTAAAAAAAAAAAAAACTTCTTCTTCGGCAGTTTTCCTAATCCTTATGCCATAAAGTGTTGCAGAAATGAGAAGGATATAGTTCTGTATCGTTTGTTAGTGGTGCAGCTGTATTAATCTCATATTGCATTTCTGTAATGTCTCTTTTTACTCTCTTCACCCATCGCTTTCTTGGTCAGCCTCTTGCTTGTAGCCTGTTGTTCTCATGTAGCATGTTCCAGCTGCTTACTGATTTTGTTCCATTCTGACCTAGAGATGAACAAACCATTTCATTCTTGGATGTTCTGTGAAATTATTTACTGGTGGTACTGTGCCTACTGTTGTTCTTAATTGTTGGCAACTCTCTCTCTCTCTCTCTCTCACTTCTTGCTTTTTCTGCTGCATTACTTATACATCTTATCTCACCTGCTGTCATTTTGCATTTATGTTTTTAAGACTGTCCATGTCTGGCATTGATAGCACAAAGTTGGTACAAATAGCGCATTTATCAGCTGCTTTTTTGTGTGCATCTTGATAGAAGACATCACACTCTTCTAAAACCTATACTGGAGAGAAAAATTGAAAGCAAGATACTCAAAAAAAAAAAATTTGTGCACGCACACACACACGCATGTGCATTGTCTCACACACACATATCTGTGCTGCAGGGGGAAAATGTATTTATTTCTTAGTGTAGCTTATATGTCAGCCTGCTATTGAAATTGGTCATTTTGCATGCCAAGAAACAAGGTTGCTGACTGTTGACATTTAGCGAAATTCTAGTTAAACTAATCCTGAAACTGTTAAACCTTTTTTTTTTCAAAACAATTTTTTTATTTCTCATAAATCATTTTAGACAAAAATTTGCAGCAACTAATTTCACATTTACTATGATCCAAAATCTGGTTAGAGTGTTTGTGAAGGAAGAAAGCTACATCCCTTTGGGCATGCGCTTACAGTTCTAGCCGCGGAGTCAGTTTTGCCTGCTTGCTAATGATGGCCATGCCAGATCCTCAGCTTGAAGCAGCAACCACTTCATTAAAAACTAAACATCTGTCAACACAGATATTATTGCATGTGTTAGGTCACTTTAGGTCAAGGGTCTTCACATCTTAGATCAGAGGTCTCTTAAAATTGAATCATGGGTCCCAAATCTTCTTTCTACAGTCTTCGTTTTCTTCTTTCTGCGGTCTCAAAATCTTCAGCCCGTATTGTCACTAAATTTTGGGAATGTCTAAAGCTGAAGACCATATTTTGAGACACACTATTGTAATAAACTCATTGATTGAGCTATTAACCTGGTTTGTATTCTTAATTATTGTCTGAAGACCCTTTCTGTTAGAAATTTACCAGTCCAAACCCATGTCTCTGAAGTTTTTAGAGATCCTTTGCACTAGAAGTCCACCCTCTTCTTTTCTTCTTTTGTCTACTGTTTATGCTGCAAAATGTTGCAGAGAAGAGTTATGTGTAATTTTCTGTCTTTTTTCTATTTGCACAGCTTGTGTTTCTGTAATCTCTCTTTTACTCCCTTCACCCATCTCTTTCTTGGTGAGCCTGTTGCCTTGTAGCTTGCTATTCTCATGTCGCACCCTCTAGTTGCTGGCCTATTTTGATCAGATGACCAGACTATTTGATTCTTTGATATTCTGTTAAATCATTTACCGGTAATGTGCCTACTTTGTTTACCACCGCAAATTAGTTTGCTCTCCCTCTATGTACTTCCAGGACCTTATTTTCAGGAAAACAAATTTGACCAGTTACCCCTTCACAAGCATATGGTTAAAAAAAGTGATGACTCAATAGAGATTTGCTGAAATGGAAGTTGGCCTAATAGGCACAGCAATTGCAGCCACATTGCAACATGCCAACCGCCTGTTTTAACACAAGAACTAGAAAGATCTGTCCCTTATGCATTTCAGTAACTCCATATTTTTAGAGACACTTTGCATTAGAAGTTTACCAACACAAATGAATCTTTCCCTGAATCACTTTTTGTTTTGACTTTTGAACCCTGCACTATTTGACACTAACATGTGGCTTTTCTTCTCACCACCTCTGCAACTCCCTGAATGTGCCCCAACACCACTTGAATGATTCTGCAGCCGTGTTGTCTGTCTCTAAAGCTGCTCCCGTAGAAAATAACAGCACCAGCAGTGGCATGGGCAGCCTCAGTGATGTGAATGCTGCAGCAGCTGAGGGGATCGTCTTTGGGAGCGAGAGTCCCCTGACAGATGTCAAAGGGCTGAATAAGAGTAAGATTACACTAGATTGTAAGATGGTATTTACATGTACAGTGGCACTAGATGGATTTGATTTTGAGATAGTATATAGGTGTAGTGTAAGTGAATGCTTGTGAGATGATTTTGAGCTATAAACAAATTATTGTGAAATGGTATTTGGGTATAAACAAATTATTGTGAGATGGTATTTAGGTGTAAGTGAATAATTGTAGGGTGACGTTTAGGTGTTAGTGAATAATTGTAGGGTGACATTTAGGTGTTAAGGAGTAATTGTAGGGTGACATTTAGGTGTTAGTGAATAATTGTAGGGTGACGTTTAGGTGTTAGTGAATAATTGTAGGATGATGCGTAGGGGTTAGTGAATAATTGTAGAATGACATTTAGGTGTTAATGAATAATTGTAGGGTGACGTTTAGGTGTTAGTGAATAATTGTAGGGTGACATTTAGGTGTTAGTGAATAATTGTATGGTGTCACGTTTAGGTGTTAGTGAATAATTGTAGTTTGAGGGTTTTTGGGTGTTAGTGAATAAATAGGATTTTAGGGTGATAATTTAGGGTGACATTTAGTGTTAGTGAATAATTGTAGGATGACATTTAGGTGTTAGTGAATAATTGTAGGGTGACATTTAGGTGTTAGTGAATAATTGTAGGATGACATTTAGGTGTTAGTGAATAATTGTATGGTGACGTTTAGGTGTCGGTAAAAAATTATAGGGTGACGTTTAGGTGTTAGTGAATAATTGTAGGGTGGCGTTTAGGTCTTAGTGAATAATTGTAGGGTAACATTTAGGTGTTAGTGAATAATTGTAGGGTGATGTTTAGGTGTAAGTGAATAATTGAACAATAGTATTTAGAATAAGTGAATGATGATAAGATGGTCTTTAGCTATACTGTGGCTCTAGATGTTTAGTGTATGATGGTATTTACTTATACAAAAGGACCTGTTCATTTTTTGACTGCATTCTTTTGTTCACAGGTGCTGTTTTTGTGTGTGTGTGTTTTGTGTGTTTTTTTTTTTCATTTCTGGTGATAGTCATTAGAGATAAGGAGTTAGGCTTTGTGCTGCTTGTGCAAGTTCTGCTGCCCCGTTTGCTTCTTCTCCCTCTGTTCATCTTCCAAAGGAACATAGGCTGTCAGCAAATTCACACTAAATTGTCCTATCCTTTTGCAGTTCACCCTGCTTCTTTTTTTTAAACTTCTTTTTCTAGCCTTCTTTATTTATTTCTTTGGTCTGCCTTAATTTCTTTGATATCTTAGGTGGGGAAAAATAGATCCACTGTCCCTTAGATCCACAGCTGGCATAGGGTTCCACTAACAGTCGTAAAAAAGTAAAATTTAAGAACACTTTCCCACGCCTTTAAGCATATTGGTAATATAGGGCTAGACCTATATCTTTATAGACCATTCAGCACTTGGTGGGTGATGTGGTCAGCATCACGCCAGCCGCCTTTACTTCCCAGGACTGCACCTGGTACCCACTCAAGGCACTAACAGCAGTAGTTGTTAATAATTATATGTCTTGCATTTCTTCTGAGTTCTTTGTTTATGTAAGTGTGTAAGCCCATGTGTGTAGATCTGCATGTGTATTTCTGAGTGATTGACTAAAATACTTCATACATTGTTTACAGTGCTAGATCAAGAAGTAAAGCATTCGTTGTGTTTAAAAAAAAAATGTATTCAATTTAATGAAGGGGTTAATGAATAATAAGATAATGGTAGGTGTCCGTTCAGGTAAGTAACTGCCTATTGTTTGTGGGTATCTTAATGCATGTAAGTTAGACTTCACTAATATCTTCAGTTGTTAGTGACTAATTAGTTTGATTTTTTCGTTTGTTTAATTTCACAATAATTTATTTCTGCTACAGTGCTGCACTTATTTTTTGGATAGTCATTTTGGTTTTATTGAGCTTTGAAAGTATTGCTTAATTGAAGACTGTGCTCTCATATACCTTCCATGGGGTCCTAGTGGAGCAGATATGGTCAGTACAAGACTCTTAATGACTCTTAGCCTTTCTTGCTCAAGCCTACCTCACCTTCATATGGTGGGCCCTTTTCTCCCCAGTATTCCACTGGAAGGGTGGGGTTCCATCCCCTAGCAATAAACTGGATTGGACTGAAGGAATGGTTGATTCTATCATTGGTGACCAGACCCCCTGTCAGGAACTTGTTTATAGGAGGACCGCGAAGACTCCTGTTTTTGTAGTGTTGTTTAAGGGTATCTTGTTAAGCTTGTTGAGTTATTTGACTCAGACTTTTGATAGTTCCAACAACAACAACAAAAAACTAAATTTGTATGTTATCTTACGTTATCACAATCAGTGTCTTTGCACATTAGGCATCCAGATGTGTGCTCAGTCTGATGCAGCAGCCACTTCAAGGTACCTTTACTAATTGTTACCATGAGGAGTTGGTTATAGTATCTCCTGTCTTTACCTTGAAGACGACATAGACGTGCTTCACCATGCCTACCTCCTTCACCATGCAGTCTTGTTTCAGAAATATATTTCTGTTCTTTATTTTGCATTATTTGGAGATGATCTGTTATTCTACCCTCCCAAGGTTTTGATCTGGAGAGCTCTGATGATTCATGCCAAGATTATGATGATGATGTCTCCGGGGCTGGGGAGAGTGGCTTTGGGGACGGCGATGAGTTCACCACCTCCTGGGAAGACATGAACAAACTGGATCCGAACCTTCTCCTGTACAAAGCTAGTGGGGCTAGAAACTTACCTGTGATGCTGGAGGCTTTGTCCAACAGGGCTGATCCTAACTGGGTCAACATGGAGGACGAGGGAAAGACTCCTATAATGAGAGCAGTTCAGACAGTAAGAAATTGTCTACTGGCTAAAGAGTTCATGAATGTCATAACAAATTTCTTGAATTATGATTCTTTTACTACTTCTTTCATGCTTAAAAAAGCTGATGGCACATTGTTATTGTGTTTTACAGATAGGCGGCAGTATCTGCACTTTTCAGCCCAACACATCATTTCAGCAAGGCCTTTTACATCATGCTTATTCAGGGAAGTGGGTTTATTCTGTTTTCCCAAAACACTGGGGTCCTGGAACCCACACAGGGATAATGTGTCGATGATTGCAGTTTATTTCCCTGGCAAAATTTGCTGCATGTCCTCAAGGCCCTACAGTAACATTATTAAATAAGATGAAGCAAACAAATGAGTAGACGGCCACAGACATCAGCAGTTTTATAATAAAGAATATGGCGCACTGTTGGGCAGACACAGAATCACTAGACAGATATTCAAAGTGGAAACAAATGGATTGAGGAAAAGAGGATGTCCAAGAAAAACCCTAGGATGAACATAAGAGAGGCTAAAGGCACTGAAGGGTTTCCCCATCCACAATATTGAAAAGACTACACACAATAAAACGGAACAGTGGACTTCTATTTTCAACAGCCAGTGCAACCTTTTGAACTTTTGGCCACATGGTTACCTTATAATAAATTAACAAACAAAATCCTGTTAAAAAAATAAAAAAGCATTTTACACTGATCATACTTCTGATTTTATTTATGGACCACAAAATATTAAACTGTGTACAGAATATAGGGAGTAACCAGTAAATATTAATGCTAGGGAGTAACCAGTAAATATTAATGCTAGGGAGTAACCAGTAAACATGAATGCTAGGGAGTAACCAGTAAACATGAATGCTAGGGAGTAACCAGTATGAAGGCTCCCAAAAAAAAACTGGGTAACATTTCTTTGAGTCTAAAAAAAGTGTATACCTTGACTCGTTTGTTTATCGTGTGTGCTGGTCGGTAGTTACCACTGTGACTAATAGGAAGTTGTGATTTCATAATTTATATTTAAAAACTAATATTTTTCACACACAAACGCATTCTTAATGCAATTCTTAGCAAATATTATAATTACCAGTCATGGGAAACATTTGTTTGAGAGCGCATTAATGCTATTAACTAGGCTTCTAGTGAACAAGCCACTATGGTAAGGCCAGAGAAGCGACATTTAGGTGGATCGGAAGTGCCAGGTTTGGTGCTTCTCGGGACAAGAGGGTACCCAGAAGAAAAAAAGGAGAAAAAAAAAACAATAGAAGAAATATTCACAGTCTGCATACAGTATTCTAAAAGTCAACTTGAAGTAAAGTTAAATACCTACAATCTGGTTAACAAAATAAATCAGGAACCAAAACAAGGAGGAATATGAGGAATGTAAACATGTGGGTATTTGAGTAGACATGTGTATAAACAAGCTACACTGAAGAAATATAATGAACACAGAGCTAGGGGAAAGCTACATAAACGGTGGAGAAGCACTTTTTCTCTAGGCCATGCCGGCTTAGTGGGTAATGAACGCAGACAGATTGGCTGAATCTGCACCACTGGGTGTTGAATTGATTCATGACAAGGCAGATGTGGTCAAGGCCCTTTAGAAACAAGTAACAGCAACAGAATCAGTAGAGAAAGAAGATTATTATGGCCTGGAGATAATAAGGCACCTGGGTGTAACCAGAGGCTCTAGCTGGTTCACTCCACTCAGAGGAAAGGCAAGACGGATATATAACCAGATTGTGACCGGTACCATGAGTATTGGATCTCTACGCTGGCTGCTGAGGATGAGGACAGAGCACGCATGAGAATGCCCCAAGGGCTGTGATGTCAATTCTTGACTCAACTCAATAGTGGAAAACAGCATCAAGAACAACCTTTGCAAATAATGATAGGCCAACTTGTACAGTGCATTCAAAAGAGCACACAGACAATCTTTACACCCCCCCCCCTCCCCCAACACTTTGATGTGGTCAATCTAGAAAAAGATAAAAGAACAACACATGTATGATTCAGTCAATTTTTACCTATATGTAAATTGTTAGTAACATTTATACCCAGTAAGCTATTGTAGCATAGTTGCTAGATATATGCTCGCTTGTCATCTTGTCTTGGGTTCAAAACTGCATTTTGGCAGATTATTTTCAAAATCGACCTTGGCTCCCCTGTGTGACATAGCCTGTAGAGGGTGCCAGGTAATATCCTGGGAAGTAAAGGTAGCCAGCATGATCATGATTACATTACCCACCAAGAGCCAGTTGGTCTATACAGTATGAGCAGCATCATGTGCCGGGTGTATCACTGGCATTAAAAAATAAAATTGGTTCTTATCACAATTTCAGGCTCTGGCTATGAATGATGGAGGCAGGACAGACACTGTGATTGGACGGTCAGACTCCACCTTAAGCTGTCGCACAGTCACGTGTAAGGGGCAGGGGTGTCAGCTGTCTCTCTTGCATATATGTTGGAGAGCAGACAGGTACACGGTGGCTTTTCCGAGCGACTTAGGATATAGTATTAGTGTTTGTTGGTGGGTACATGACAGCCGTCTAGGATTTTGCTAAGGAAATGAGTTTATTGCAGTGGATAGCTCTGTGTCTGCAGCGACACGTAGAATGCACTATCTCGTGGGACCTAGGTTCAGTTTGTCCAATAAAGTTTGGGTTAGGCCTAGTTGCAGATTTATCGGGTCGTTAAAATTGCTATCTTGCTTGTAGTATAGAGGTCGCGTCACAGGAGAGTGAGTTCTCGCTGTCCTAAAGTTGTAAAAGTGTGTCATAAAATGACGCCCATCGGACGCAGCCATGGCGAAACCCCTGTAACCTCTGCAGAAGTCGACTAGGCTGGCCAAGTATGAAGGAAAAGTTGCCTGAATTTGTGATAAGAACCAAAAAGTCCTCTACCTTACAAACACCTGCCCTGGTTATATCCTTCATCACTTAATTCTTTCCATGTTTTCTTTTTATCAAGGGCTCGCTGGCAGCCTGCGAGTTCCTCCTGCTCAACAATGCCAAACTGGATCGGAAGGACAGAAAAGGAAGAACCCCCTTACATCATGCAACAATCTTGGGTCACACCGGGTAGGTTATCAGAAGTCTGTGCTCCATACACAGCTTTTTTCTGACTTGTGTTTGTACTTTATCATAATGCAGTTTTATCAGTGCTCTGTCTATGAAGGTTCAGGTGGCTGTGCTTCGTACGCAGTTTTTCTGACTTGTGTGTGTACTTTATCATAACGCAGTTTTCTCAGTGCTCCGTCTATGAAGGTTCATGTGGCTGGGTCACACCTGGAGAATTGGGGATGGAAGAGTTCCTAAGGACATTCTCTATGGTTAATTAAAGATAGGTAAAAGATGTCGAGGCTGACCTCTTCTACGATATAAAGATGTGTTCAAGCAAGATATGAATGATACAGGTATAGGAACAAAAATGCCATGGACCGTGTTGTGTGGAGGGGGCATATAAAGAAGGGAATGAGATTGAAAAAATAAATGATTGCAGAAAGGAAGACACAAATGGTGACAACAGTGGCGCTGAAATCCCATGCTGTAATTGTGGAAGACTTTTCTTACCACTGGCCGATCTTGCTGGTCACATTCACCATCCCCATAGGCTGTGAGTCCCAGACCTCTTCATAGGTTAGAATAACACTTTCATTTGGAAAGAGAAAGGTGCCAATCATAACTCCCTTACATCTTTCTGCAATCTTTAACCAAACAGGGTATGTTTATAGTCAGAAATGTATGTACGGTATACATGTTTCCATTAACGTGTGTATGCATTCTTACGTGCGTGCATCTCTTCTTCTGCCTTTTTATCCCCCAATGGAGCATAGGCCCTCAACTAACTCACGCCAAGTCGTTCTATCCTTCGCCATTACATGGAGCTCTCCCCATGTCCTCTTAATCTTTCTAACCTCATTCTCCAGCTCTCTTCTCCATGTGTTTTTTGGCCTTCCTTTATTCCTATGCCCCTGTGGGTTCCAATGCAAAGACATTCTAGTTATACTGTTCTCCTGTTTTCTCAGTGTGTGCCCTATCCAACACCAGCGTCTTTTCCTCACCTCCTGATCCACTGGAGCCTGTTTAGTTCTCTCCCAAAGTTCTACATTAGTTATTCTATCGTACCATTTTATTCCCTCTATTCTGCGCAGGCACCAGTTAATGAATGTCTGTAATTTATTAGTAATTGCCTTCGTTGTTCTCCATGTTTCCGCCCCATACAATAGTACTGATTTTGACATTAGAATTAAAAAATTTTTAGTTTAGTATTTCTTTTAATTTCTTTTGACCTCCACAAATTCCCTAGTGCTATGAAAGCCCCTCTTGCCTTTTGTATTCTTATTTTAATATCTCTATCAGTTCCTCCATCTTTATCTACATTACTGCCCAAATAGGTGTACAACTCCACGTCTTGGAGTGGGGGTGCCATTAAGAGAAACCACATTACTATTTGCCTGATTTATTCTCATTATCTTTGTCTTTCCTTTATGGATTTTCAGACCAAGCTGCTGTGATCTCGCATTAAGTATATTTAATTTATCTTGTATCTGATTCCGTGAATGGGACAGAAGGGCAATATCATCAGCGAAGTCCAGATCATCAAGCTGTTTTGTAGGGGTCCACTGAATTCCATTCTTGGTGTTAGCAGTTACTGTTTTCATAGTCCAGTCTATAGCCAGTAAAAATAGGAGAGGCGACAAAAGACATCCCTGTCGCACACCTGTTTTTATTTCAAATGCATCTGTTAGCTTTCCCTCATGAAGAACTCGACATTTCATGTCTTTATATGTTGCCTTTACTAAGTTGATAATTTTCTGTGGGATTCCATAGTGCCCCATCAATTTCCAGAGAGATTCCCTATCAATGCTGTCAAATGCTTTTTCATAGTCTATAAATCCAATGTAAAGTGGTGAGTTCAGTTCAATGCTTTGTCTATTATAATACGTAATGTGGCTATCTGATCAGTACAGGATCTGTTGGACCGAAAACCTGCCTGCTCATCTCTTAGCATTTTATCAATAGCATCTTTTAATCTTTCCAAAATAATTCTACTTAATATTTTTCCAGGAACTGACAGCAACATAATTCCTCTATAGTTTTCACACTCCTGTAGATCACCTTTTTTGGGCAGTTTCACAAGATATCCTTCTCTCCAGTCTGCTGGTATTTCTTCGGTTTTTCCACCAATAACATACTGGTTACCTGCACAAAAATTTGTGAACAATTCTCCATTTTCATTCATTACTCCTAGACCATGTCTCCCCATAATTTCTACATGTTTCCATTAACGTGTGTATGCATTCTTACGTGCGTGCATACATGTACTATATATATAAATAAATATTGTGTGTATCAGTTTTATTATAACCCCCTTTCATCTTACAATCTTTGAGCAGACAGGATAGGTTCATAGTCATAAATCTATGCTTGGTAGACCTGTGGCTTAGAAGTTAGTGATTGTGATTAACAGTTTCTTAATCCTTGTGAACTAGGGTTCGATTTCCAAAACAGATAGTTTGTTCAAAAAAGCCGCAACTGATATTATATGATGGTTTTCTGACAGTAGTGTAAGAGTCACACCATGAAAAAGATTGGGGCCTCACCATAAAATATTCTCTATGACTGTGGGTGCACTGTAGCCAGCCTTCATTGTGGAGACGGCACAAAATTGTTTTTTAAATATGTATTAAGTTTATTAAAACCCCTTTCTTTATGTCATGTAGTCATGGGCAACACAGAGTATTTTATAAGAAATCTGTGCAGGTGTACATATCTGTTTTCTGGCTGTGTGCGCGTGCATGTGCATGTGTGTGTTTTTTTTTTCTGCCTTTCTAAGCCCTATGGAGCATAAGTACTCAACTAACTAATGCCAAGTCTTTCTACCTTCACTACCGTATGCAGCTCTCCCCATGTCCAGCCCATCTTTTAAAATTCACTTGCTAGCTCTCTTCTGCGTGTTTTTTTATCTTCCTTTATTTATCTGCTGTTGTGGCTTCCAGTGCAAAGACATTCTGGTTATATTGTTCTCAGGTTTTCTCAGTGTGTGTCCTATCTCCAACGCCAACATTTTTTCTTCACCTCAAGGTCCACTGGAACTTGTTTAGTTCTCTCCCAAAGCTCTACATTAGTGATTCTATCATACCCTTTATTTGTGTATGTTTCCAGTGCAAAGACATTCTGGTTTTACAGTTCTTAACTTTTCTCAGTGTGTGGCCTATCCAACACCAACATATTTTTCTTCACCTCTGAGTCCACTGGAACTTGATTAGTTCTCTCCCAAAGCTCTACATTAGTGATTCTCTCATACCGTTTAATTGTGTATGTATCAGCTTTATCATAAACCCCTTAGATTACAGTCTTGGCCCACACTGGGTGGATTAACAAAATGTGTGCACTACAAACATTTCTCTTTTCTGTGACAAGTGAGTATGTGTGCATCATTATCATGTGCAATGTTAAGTGTAGGTCCAGTGTGGGTGGTTCTCCAGTTGGATATAAATGTGATCTAGGTCTGACTACTGTGTTAGAGATTGATGATGATACATCCAACATATACTGTAGACTTAGTGGTCACTGTACAGACCACCTTGCTTTGGTTTGACAGTAGTATCTAGAGCTGACAGTTCAGTAAGCTGTGGCAAACTACTGAACGTTAATTTGCCTAGAAAAACCGCAACAGCCAAGCAAATGGTCGGGTTGGTAAAGAATAGGCTGTTAACTTTAGTTGCTTGATAGCAGATACAGCCATGAAATTGCAACAACATCTAACATCCATGAATGAAGAATGTAAAACAAATAATATGAGAATCAACACTGAAAAGACAGAAGTAATGTCAATAGGAAAAAAGAAGACAGATCTAAACATAGCAATAGAATACAAAGGCATTAAACAGGCATCTGAGTTTAAATATCTGGGAACTACATTTACCGAAGATGGGAAATTGGATAAAGAAATTAACATAAGTTGCAGTAAAGCAAACCAAGTATTGGGACAGCTAGCCCCCCTCTTACAGCATAAGACAATCCCAATCAGCACAAAGAGACATCTTATTCAAAGCATATTTATTCCAACTCTGTGCTACCAGTGCCAGACATGGTCACTCACAACAAACCATAAAAGAAAATTAGTAACCACGGAAATGAGATGTCTGAGAAGGGCTGTAGGAGTGACCATAAGAGATAAGATCAGGAATTAGATCATAAGAGAACAAGTCGGCACAGAACCAATTCTGGATTACATACAAAGACAGCAAGTGAAATGGTTTGCCCACTTAGAGAGAATGCCTAGTGACACCATACCATACAAAGCATACATGAAAAGAGAAGGACGTAGAGCACGGGGTAGACCAAGAACAAGATGGAAGGATAACATCAGAGAAACTCTACAACAGCACGATGTGCCTATGGTCGAGGCAGCCAGAAGAGCTAGAAACAGAACCTTATATCTCCCTCGACACCCACAGCGGTAAAAGAGGAAGTGAAGAAGAAGAAGAACTTTAGTTGTCACTGGAATTTCTTGATGCACATTGTGTTTTTGTAAATATATAAATATACACACACACATTCATTTTTTTTTTTGTTTTGCCATTAAATGTCACATAAGGCTCACAGTCTTTTTTTTCTTCCATTCTATTCTGTCTTGTGCAATCACGTCGATGTCATGGATGGAATCCATTCCAGCACCTTTGACCTCAGGGTTTATTTTATGGTTTCTCTTGGAAGTCCTTGTTTCCTCAGTTGTGGTGACTGTTTGGTGATCTCTGCTCGTGTCTTCTCACAATGTGCCTAGTATAGCTGTCTTCTCTGTCTTATAATAACTATTGGTAGCTGTCTTCTCTGTCTTATAATAACTATTGGTAGCTGTCTTCTCTGTCTTATAATAACTTTTCATAGCTGTCTTCTCTGTCTTATAATAACTTTTCATAGCTGTCTTCTCTGTCTTATAATAACTATTGGTAGCTGTCTTCTCTGTCTTATAATAACTTTTCATAGCTGTCTTCTCTGTCTTATAATAACTTTTCATAGCTGTCTTCTCTGTCTTATAATAACTTTTCATAGCTGTCTTCTCTGTCTTATAATAACTTTTCATAGCTGTCTTCTCTGTCTTATAATAACTATTGGTAGCTGTCTTCTCTGTCTTATAATAACTTTTCATAGCTGTCTTCTCTGTCTTATAATAACTTTTCATAGCTGTCTTCTCTGTTTTATAATAACTATTGGTAGCTGTCTTCTCTGTTTTATAATAACTATTGGTAGCTGTCTTCTCTGTCTTATAACTTTTCATAGCTTTCTCTGTCTTAATAATAACTACTGATACTAGTTGTTGCCAAGACATTTTTCTTATTTCTTCACTCCACTTGAATTAATCCCATTTTGTGTTTATCCTTTTTCTCAGGCATTTGTTTTTTAATGCATTCACCTTTCATTCCATGTCTTTAGTGGTTCTCCAACTTCTACTGGCCTATGTTAAAACTGAAATAACAGAATGTAAAATACATAACTTGATTCTAAAACTATATAATTTATTGAGTTCCATATTTTGTTCTAGTTTTTCAACATTGCTGATGCCTTGCCAGTGCATGTCATCATTTATGTCCTTGTTTCCTTCACTATTAGTGTTATAATATACATAGATAAATACATATAATAATAAACTTTTTTTTCTTCTAAAGGCAAGTTTGTCAGTTTTTAAAGAGAAGAGCTGACCAAAATGCCAAAGACAACAAAGGGATGGTGAGTTTAATTGATAATTTCTTATTGTTGTATCCAGTATGTGGCACACATCAACATTCTAGTTAAATTATTTTAAGGTTTTGCTAGAATATTTAGACTACATCCGTGACTCAACTGACACAGACATCCTAGTTATAGTGGTAATTTTTTTGTGCTATGTTTTAGACTCAGATATTCTAGTTGAATTATTGTCAAATTTTGCTATATTATCTAGACCAGTGGTTCTCAGTCTGGGTGCTGCGAGCGCATGCCAGGGGTGCCGCGACAGTAATCAAGAATTTTTCAGAATCTGCTTGATATCAGTGAAGACAGCCATTTAAAACATATTTACCATTAAGAAAACCAAGAAGAGTTCTGGATGCAGGTGTATTCAGAAAACAATGCTATTGGCAAGGCTGTCGTACATTCTCAACGTACGTCCACATAAAAAAACAGACACAGGAGCAACTTTAAAGTCAATTGAGGGTACAATTAGCTAAACTTCCCATAAACATAACGGAAATAGTGAAAAATTCCTCCAGACAGTTTCATTAAAGACAACTGAACATTAAATTTGTACTTTGTTTTCTTCTTTTCCTAAGTATTCAAACCGCTTTAAGGGTAGGTGTGCTGCGAAAAAGGTTTTGCTAGACAAGGGTGCCGTGGTGAAAAAAGTTTGAGAAGCTCTGATCTAGACTACATCCAGGACTCAACTCACATGGACATTCTAGTTTATACTTCTGTCAGGCAGATTTTACTATAACTTTTAGACTGCATCTGCGGCTCAACACACAGAAATTCTTCTAGTTTTGCTATAACTATTAAACTGCTGTGAGTCTGTTTGGACATGGAGTGTGAACAAGAAAAGTGTAACTGTCTTGGCAAGTAAAAACTTTGTTTTACAATAAGATGACCTAGTTTTCCTATTTTTGCAACTATGAACTGCTTTTAACAACTGTTAAAAGACAGAAAATGCACTTGTATAGACATGTAACAAGATCTCCGAGGCTCCCCAAAATGGTACGTACATGTAACAAGATCTCCGAGCCTCCCCAAAATGGTACGTACATGTAACAAGATCTCCGAGCCTCCCCAAAATGGTACGTACATGTAACAAGATCTCCGAGCCTCCCCAAAATGGTACGTACATGTAACAAGATCTCCGAGCCTCCCCAAAATGATTCTGCACGGCAGAACTTTGCTGAGCATACAGGCCTCAATATGGAGACATTAAGATCGTTGCATTGCATAAACCGGTAGAAGGAATTGATCAGATAGTCATCAGCGGCTGGTGACCCAATGACATATGGTATTATAGGATTATGGCGATGATGCTTTTCCTTTTGCTCTTTATCTCCCAGTGGAGCATAGGCTCTCTAGCCACCCACAACAAGATTACAGACTATTTCATGGTTTGTTGAATTTTACAGCAAAAGTTTTGATGAGATGGTGGAGTGAGGAACAGCTGGGGGAACAGTTAAACACACTTTAGGCTCTCATGCCAGAGATTTGGGTTCAACTCCTATGTAAAATTATGGATTTGTTTCTATCAGAGCCTCAAAAACAATCCTTATCTGCACAGACATGGTGACAGCACTAGCCTTGCGGCCCTAAATCCTCAGGCTCGAAGGATCCTCCTGCCTACACTGCAGAAGTGGTAATGGCAGGTGGCAGTAGCTAGTCTTGTAGTAATCTTCAGTGTATATCTCTTCTATCATGCATGGTAGTTTACACCATTACTATTCTTTGCTTCCTGTATGACTTGGTTGTAATGAAATCATTTTGTCTGTCCAAGACTTTGTGTTTAAACTCCAGCGGAAAGCTTTCGTTATTTGTCCACTTCTGGTCTTTTGTCTTGTTCCAGAACTTTTGCATTTTGCCTGCACATCCAATTTACAGATTTGCTTCCATGCCTTCTAGGTAGAGGCACTCCAGTTTCCAAGGAAGCCCTTAGTTGGTCGAGTCTTACAAGATGTTTGATCAGAAAGCCGTGGGTCTGTTCTTGTTTTCCCCAAAATGGGGCCCGGGAACCCACATCGAGAGATTCGATTTGTATTATGATTGTCTATGGCTTTCAGGTCAGTCGAGCCTAAAATGGATACCAGGAAACATTGTGGGAAGTAAAGATGACCGGCATGGTGTTCACAACATGGCTGATTGAGTGCATCACTCCTACCCTGAGGTGTGACCTGGCTTGCAGCATTTTGAGCCTGACTGCAATAGTTTGCTGTGTGAGGATGCATCACATACAGACTACTGGGTTGTCCCTTGTACATCCTAGAATCACCCCCATGGTGTCACTGGTGCAGTGTAATAACTAAATTCTGCTCATTGTTTCAAAGACACAAGTAAAGCATAACTTTTCTATTTCCAGACTCCATTAATGATTGCAGTTGAAAACGCCAATGCTGATATTGTCACACTGTAAGTAAATATGAACTATTTAAGTCCTGGGGTTTTAACCACAAAGGCTGTGGAGTGTAGTAGCCATATAAGTAAATAAATATATTTTCATAAGTTCAAACACATAGTGTCTGCTACGTGCCAGTTTTAGTGTGTTTGTATCAAACATAAACAAAAATATAACAAGGCATGCATTGTGTGCTGCACACAGACAGTAGCTTCTAACACATGGTCTGTTGTATAATACACAGACAGTAGCTGCCCACATATGGCTATGTTTGACACAGACATTAGCTGCCTACATATGGCTATGTTTGACACAGACATTAGCTGCCCACATATGGCTATGTTTGACACAGACATTAGCTGCCTACATGCAATGTCTGCTACCTGCCAGTTTTACAAGTCATGCATTGTGTGCTGCACACAGACAGTTGCTTCCAACACATGGTGTGTTGCCCACACATGGCTATAATTGTCACAGACATTAGCTGTCCATATGTCATGATTGATGACATTAGCTGACTACACAAGGTGATGTTTGACACTGACATTAACTGACCCCACAGACATTAACTGACCACACATGGTGAAGGATGTTTAACACAGACATTAACTGACCACACATGTTGATATTGACACATACATTAGCTAAACACATAAGGTGATGTTGGACACAAACATTAGCTGACCACATATGTTGGTATTGACATATAATTAGATGAACACATATGGTGATGTTTGACACAGACGTTCTCTGATCACACATGTTGATTTTGACATATACATTAGCTGAATGTTTGACACAGACATTAGCTGACCACACATGTTGATTTTGACATATACATTAGCTGAATGTTTGACACAGACATTAGCTGACCACACATGTTGATTTTGACATATACATTAGCTGAATGTTTGACACAGACATTAGCTGACCACACATGTTGATTTTGACGTATACATTAGCTGAATGTTTGACACAGACATTAGCTGACCACACATGTTGATTTTGACATATACATTAGTTGAATGTTTGACACAGACATTAGTTGACCACACATGTTCTTCTTCTTCTTCGTTCACCGGCTGTGAATTCCTGCGGAAGGTCCCAGTTAATCGTTCGCTTGGACTTTTACCTGGACCTGAGTTTTGCGTGTATAACCGTTTTGTTGTTCCCTGCCTCGCAGGCAGATGTACTCCGACTTCGAGGGAAGACGTCAGGCCTATTTCTAGGATGACTATGGCCATTTTTTTTTGTGGGTCGAGACGTTGCCTGATTTGTGTGGTGTCCTCTATGTCGCCTTCTCCGCAGGTGCTGCCCCCGGATTACCCCTTTGGAGCAGCCCCTTGTGGAACGGTTAGCCCTTAAGGAAAGGCAGGAGCAGATCATGGGCATTCCCCGCCATCCAAGGAGGCTTCCATGTATGCAGAGCCGGCACATGGCGCTCTGATTCTGGGCTCACCCAAAAAATCGTCACGTCCTGCCTATAACTGCTTAACCTCACAACCGTATAAGGCCTCCAGCTCGATAAGGGCTGTGCCCTCCGGAGATCAGCGGGGAGCAGCCCGCGGGTTCTGGACTTTTGTGACCACACAAATAGGTACATTCTTTTTCTTCGCACGTTAGATATCTTTGACGAGCCGTTAGCACGTCAGGCATATCGTTATCTGTTTGGTCCCAGCACTCGGGCGAGTGGGGTCTTTGGGTGTGGACATTTGGACTTTTTCCCGTTCAATACGATTTGTGATGGTCGGATTTTGAGCTTACTCGTGTGCCGTAGGATCTAGTTTTGTCGGACATTTAGGCTTAGCCAGCCAGTGGGCTGTTGCTGTTGTGTGTACCTCAGCGCGGTGACGACGACACTGAGGGTTAACATACATGGGTAGAATCTTGCTGCGAGACGATACCCCCAGGAGATGTTACTCGTCTGTGCTGCGCGTAAATCTCTTGGTCAAGGCTGAGTCTCAGCAGAACAATGTTCTCTTCACTCCGCAATCTTTTAACCAAGGGTTGTAATTTTAGTTGTGCATTTGGCAAGCACTTTACTCATGTTCCTAATGAGTTTTGATAACCTTTTTCACCCATGCATTTGGGGGCAGGCTGATGAGAGCCAGCGGGACACTGCACCTCTGGGGGCCGCCAACTCCGAGATCCCCTGACAGCTCTGCTAATGCTCATTTGAAACATCTGTGGCGCACGACGAGGACGTGCTGCAGGGGTCTTGCGTGAGGTTCCGTAAAACCAGAACAGTGAAGGACTGGCGCCTGAGTGACGTATGGAGTATCTCCTTATACACATCATGTTGGACTTAACTTTCCATCACGCCTGTGACCTAAATCACCGCGCCACGACCACACATGTTGATATTGACACAGACATTAGCTGACCACACATGTTGATATTGACACAGACATAAGCTGACCACATGTGTTTATGTTTGACACCGACATTAGCTGACTACACATGGTGATGATTGACACAGACATTAGCTGACCACACATGTTGATGATTGACACATACATTGGCTGACCACGGCTATGATTTACAGACATTAGCTGATCACACATGACTATGATTAACACAGAAAGCTGACCACACATGGCTATGATTAACACAGACAGCTGACCACACATGGCTATGATTAACACAGACATTAGCTTACCACACATGGCTATGATTAACACAGACATTAGCTGACCACACATGGCTATGATTAACACAGACATTAGCTGACCACACATGGCTATAATTGACACAGACATTAGCTGACCACACATGGCTATAATTGACACAGACATTAGCTGACCACACATGGCTATAATTGACACAGACATTAGCTGACCACACATGGCTATAATTGACACAGACATTAGCTGACCACACATGGCTATAATTGTCAGAGACAGCTGACCACACATGGCTATAATTGACACAGACATTAGCTGACCACACATGGCTATAATTGTCAGAGACAGCTGACCACACATGGCTATAATTGACACAGACATTAGCTGTCCACACATGGCTATAATTGACAGACATTAGCTGACCACACATGGCTATAATTGACACAGACATTAGCTGACCACACATGGCTTTAATTGACACAGACATTAGCTGACCACACATGGCTTTAATTGACACAGACATTAGCTGACCACACATGGCTATAATTGACACAGACATTAGCTGACCACACATGGCTATAATTGACAGACATTAGCTGACCACACATGGCTTTAATTGACACAGACATTAGCTGACCACACATGGCTTTAATTGACACAGACATTAGCTGACCACACATGGCTTTAATTGACACAGACATTAGCTGACCACACATGGCTTTTATTGACACAGACATTAGCTGACCACACATGGCTATAATTGACACAGACATTAGCTGATCACACATAGCTATAATTGACACAGACATTAGCTGACCACACATGGCTATAATTGACACAGACATTAGCTGACCACACATGGCTTTAATTGACACAGACATTAGCTGACCACACATGGCTATAATTGACAGAGAGCTGACCACACATGGCTATAATTGACACAGACATTAGCTGACCACACATGGCAATAATTGGCAGACATTAGCTGACCACACATGGCTTTAATTGACACAGACATTAGCTGACCACACATGGCTTTAATTGACACAGACATTAGCTGACCACACATAGCTATAATTGACACAGACATTAGCTGACCACACATGGCTATAATTGACACAGACATTAGCTGACCACACATGGCTTTAATTGACACAGACATTAGCTGACCACACATGGCTATAATTGACAGACAGCTGACCACACATGGCTATAATTGACACAGACATTAGCTGACCACACATGGCTATAATTGACACAGACATTAGCTGACCACACATGGCTATAATTGACACAGACATTAGCTGACCACACATGGCTTTAATTGACACAGACATTAGCTGACCACACATGGTTTTAATTGACACAGACATTAGCTGACCACACATGGCTATAATTGACAGAGACAGCTGACCACACATGGCTATAATTGACACAGACATTAGCTGACCACACATGGCAATAATTGGCAGACATTAGCTGACCACACATGGCTTTAATTGACACAGACATTAGCTGACCACACATGGCTTTAATTGACACAGACATTAGCTGACCACACATAGCTATAATTGACACAGACATTAGCTGACCACACATGGCTATAATTGACACAGACATTAGCTGACCACACATGGCTTTAATTGACACAGACATTAGCTGACCACACATGGCTATAATTGACACAGGCATTAGCTGACCACATATGCCTTTAATTGACACAGACATTAGGTGACCACACATGGCTATAATTGACACAGACATTAGCTGACCACACATGGCTATAATTGACACAGACATTAGCTGACCACACATGGCTTTAATTGACACAGACATTAGCTGACCACACATGGCTTTAATTGACACAGACATTAGCTGACCACACATGACTATAATTGACAGAGACAGCTGACCACACATGGCTATAATTGACACAGACATTAGCTGACCACACATGGCTTTAATTGACACAGACATTAGCTGACCACACATGGCTTTAATTGACACAGACATTAGCTGACCACACATGGCTATAATTGACAGAGACAACTGACCACACATGGCTATAATTGACACAGACATTAGCTGACCACACATGGCTATAATTGACAGACCTTACTGACCACACATGGCTTTAATTGACACAGACATTAGCTGACCACACATGGCTTTAATTGACACAGACATTAGCTGACCACACATGGCTATAATTGACAGAGACAGCTGACCACACATGGCTATAATTGACACAGACATTAGCTGACCACACATGGTTTTAATTGACACAGACATTAGCTGACCACACATGGCTATAATTGACACAGACATTAGCTGACCACACATGGCTTTAATTGACACAGACATTAGCTGACCACACATGGCTATAATTGACACAAACATTAGCTGACCACACATAGCTTTAATTGACACAGACATTAGCTGACCACACATAGCTTTAATTGACACAGACATTAGCTGACCACACATGGCTATAATTGACACAGACATTAGCTGACCACACATGGCTTTAATTGACACAGACATTAGCTGACCACACATAGCTTTAATTGACACAGACATTAGCTGACCACACATGGCTATAATTGACACAGACATTAGCTGACCACACATGGCTTTAATTGACACAGACATTAGCTGACCACACATAGCTTTAATTGACACAGACATTAGCTGACCACACATGGCTATAATTGACACAGACATTAGCTGACCACACATAGCTATAATTGACACAGACATTAGCTGACCACACATGGCTTTAATTGACACAGACATTAGCTGACCACACATGGCTATAATTGACACAGACATTAGCTGACCACACATGGCTATAATTGACACAGACATTAGCTGACCACACATGGCTATAATTGACAGACATTAGCTGACCACACATGGCTATAATTGACACAGACATTAGCTGACCACACAAGGCTATAATTGACACAGACATTAGCTGACCATACATGGCTATAATTGACACAGACATTAGCTGACCACACATGGCTATAATTGACACAGACATTAGCTGACCACACATGGCTATAATTGACACAGACATTAGCTGACCACACATGGCTATAATTGACACAGACATTAGCTGACCACACAAGGCTATAATTGACACAGACGTTAGCTGACCACACATGGCTATAATTGACACAGACATTAGCTGACCACACATGGCTATAATTGACACAGACATTAGCTGACCACACATGGCTATAATTGACACCGACATTAGCTGACCACACATGGCTATAATTGACAGAGAGCTGACCACACATGGCTATAATTGACACAGACATTAGCTGACCACACATTGCTATAATTGACACAGACATTAGCTGACCACACATGGCTATAATTGACACAGACATTAGCTGACCACACATGGCTTTAATTGACACAGACATTAGCTGACCACACATGGCTATAATTGACACAGACATTAGCTGACCACACATGGCTTTAATTGACACAGACATTAGCTGACCACACATGGCTTTAATTGACACAGACATTAGCTGACCACATTATGAAAGGCATATATTTTTTGGTGAATACTGTGCTGCAGGAGCAACAAGAAGAGATCAAATTAAAAATGAAGAAACTAGAAGATTAGGCCTGAACCAATCATACACTTTTATTAATGAACTCAGAGCAGGATCATGAAAAATGTGGAATGAAAGCATCAAGAGCAGCCGTAAAGAAACGATCAGTTTACCTAACACATCAGTAAAGTAAAGTCAAGATCCTTTTTCACGCCTTGGGTGAATCAGGCATATTTTTACAGACCAGTCGGCACTAGGTGGGTAATGTGGATCAGCATTACGCCGCCTGTCTTTACTTCCCCAGGACGTACATCCTGGTACCCATTTTATGCTGGGTCGACCTGCGACGCCGCATACTATGATAAAAATCTACTAACACATTAAAAGGAGCAAATAGAAGAACCTTAATCTTTCCCCAAACACTTTTACCAGATAACTGGAAGATAAGATATTTCTACTGAACATACTGTTTGGTAAGCGTCTTCTTGTAAAGGATATGCAACTGATGGTTTGATCTGTTGTTTTATAATTCTTTAATATGTGAATATTGCAGTCACGTGTATCTTGCATTTCAGGTTGAGATTATCCAAACTTAATGATGAAATGAAGGAAGCAGATGGTTACCTAGGAAATCCAGGTTAGTTTTCTGAAGACTTCCTCACTTGAATGTTGAATCAAGAATCAAAATTACAGCACTGGGGGACACACCTATAAGTGCTCAGTCCCCATCTTCAGCAGCAAGCGAAGAGTTCCAATTCCGATGGTACCAGTAACCGTCTGATTGTATATCTGTCTCATCCTTCCCTTAAGTGTTGAACATCGACCAGATCCCCTGGTAACTCCTCACAGCAACATTGTCCTTAGATCGTAATGATCTATCTGCACCTCTGCAGACTTTCTCACTTATCTACAGCATCTCCTGAAACTCCATGTGCTTATTATAGAACATTTTTATCAACATGATATTGCCATAGACTTTATTAGTTCCAGGCCCCATTTGTTTAGAGTGCATCTGTAGACTATTGGTTCCAGGCCCCATTTGTTTAGAGTGCACCAGTAGACTGTATTGGTTCCAGGCCCCATTTGTTTAGAGTGCATTTGTAGACTTTATTGGCTCCAGGCCCCATTTGTTTATAATGCATCCATAGACTGTATTGGTTCCAGGCCCCGTTTGTTTAGAGTGCATCCATAGACTGTATTGGTTCCAGGCCTCATTTGTTTAGAGTGCATCTGTAGACTGTATTGGTTCCAGGCCCCATTTGTTTAGAGTGCATCCATAGACTGTATTGGTTCCAGGCCTCATTTGTTTAGAGTGCATCTGTAGACTGTATTGGTTCCAGGCCCCATTTGTTTAGAGTGCATCCATAGACTGTATTGGTTCCAGGCCTCATTTGTTTAGAGTGCATCTGTAGACTGTATTGGTTCCAGGCCCCATTTGTTTAGAGTGCATCTGTCTGAGAGGAAAGTAAGCAACAGTGTGCATACAGATAAGCCAGATCTATGAAACAAATGTACAGGCAAAAAATTGCTGAAACAAGTCCAAGAATTAGAAGTGGACAGACAACCAGAACTTTTCGTTGGAGTTTACAGCTAATGAATGCTTAGAAGAAGAAACTGTATTTCATGTCATTTAGCATTCTGCCACATTAGTACATGACACTCTCAATGTTTTTTAAAACCTATATCCTTTGCAATGCGTTGTAGAATCAACCCCAGCATGTTTTTGGTTTTATGACTTTCCCTGACAGTTTCATATTTAGTAGTTTACCATTGCTTTCTGAATGGTTGATTCCTAATACCACTGTTATAACCAATGGCTGCAGCTGGCATTGAACCCAGCACCTCGCAGTTATGTTTGTCAACCACAAACGCTGACAGTGTTATAAAAAAACCAGTGGTACATTGGATGGGCATTCAATGCTAGACTCAGGTTTGTATAGACCAATCACCATATAATATAGTAATATGTAAAGGCAGAAAGTCAGACCGTTTTCAAAAAACATCTGGTTTAAGGCAAGGTGATGCTCTGTCCCCACTTCTTTTCAACTTGGCCCTGGAGAAAATTATAAGGAAATTGAAACAAGAGTGTACTATAGGAGAAACTACAAGAATACTTGGTTATGCAGATGACATTGATATTGTTGGAGAAAATGAACTAAAGACTGTAAAAACACTGATTGAACTTAATTGAGCATTCAACATTCAAGTTTCCTTGCCTAAATTCTTATCTAGATAAGAGTAATTTCTGATAAAAAGATTTCTTGGGTCCCCAGTGTGTTCTCCTTATTGGATCTGCACTGTATTTCCAGAAAAAGAAGAAACTATGCACCTATATTTCTCCAGTCCTTACTTTTGACATCTCAATCATTGAAATGTTTATGCCACTTTAATTTCTCATTTATACCAGGAGATGAAACTTTTCAAGATGTCTTTCGAGACTTCAGCAATATGGCTTCAAATAATCCAGAGAAATTAAAAAGGAAATAGCACCGGAGCCAGCCGAGAAGAAACAAAATATTCATAATTTTGTATAGTTTCTTACGTTTTATGTAAGCAAAATGAGGTCATATTTTTTTGTAAGCAGTGTACGGAGATCTTGTCGATAATGACTTGATTCTGTTTTGTTTCTAACATAATAAATGAATGTACATGTATTGATCAGCACTCTCCCTGATTGGATTGGAGAGGGGAGGGGAGGGGGGAAGAGTCCCACTGATTCTACCCTCCTCCACCATCCACAAGAGCTATTGTCATTAAAAGCGATTAGGTTTGCTTAAATTGAATTTGTTGGGCCAGAAGATGCAGATATCGCAGGCTGTAAGTCACAATGCAACATGCGAACCGCTCGTTTTAGCCCCTTTGCTCCAAGAAGCTACAAAACTGACACTTCTGGTTAGGTCCAGTTCCCCATAAGTGTCACTTTTCTGACTTGTCATTGTTACCACTGTTGGCTGAGTTTGCGCCAGCAGAAACATTTAGGTCAGGAAATGAGTCGCCCAATACATACTGTATTTTTTTTTTAAAGATCCTGAGGAATGTATTCCATTGAATGCTTCACCCTGTTTGTGTTCACTGATTATATGTCAACAACAAACATGTAGATGCATACATTTTTTAACATAAAATTATTAGTGACCTGAGTAAAAAAAAAAAAATTGCATTTTTTTTTTCTGGAATTTCGGTAGGGTCATGACTCATTATAGTTTCTCCCCCCCCCCTCCCTCCTGCCAGGGGTCAGAGGATTAAGGGGGAACACAGACGAAGAAGAGAACACTGTCTTGCTCCTGCTTCTGTGAACTTCTTGGAACTACATAATCACAGTAGTTAGAATGCTTGCCTTCGTGGTGTAAAGTCATAGTTTAAATCCCATTATGGCAGATGGCTTTGATTGACCAGTATGACCATTTGACCATTATCACGTTTGATATCACTGCACATGGGGGCATTCCCTTACATGCTCAGTCCTCTGATGCAGCAGCTAGCAGCAGTTACCCCAAAGTACCCACACTGATTGTTCCAATGAAAAGTTGATTATACAGTCTTCTACCTCGAAGACCGCACCAACCTGCATGACTCTGAAGTCATCCAATTGTCAGTGTCAGAGATTCATTTTCCCATCCCATGAGTTATGTTGTGTTATGTTATCACAATCGACCTCACTGCACATTGGGCATTCCCATGCCTGCTCAGTCCTCCTATGCAGCAGCCACTCCAAAGTATTTCTACTAATTGTTTCAATGAGAAGCTGGTTATAGTGTCTCCTATCTCGGCCTTGAGGATGGCATAGACGTGCTTCACCGTGCTATACTTCCATGTCACGCAATCATATTAGTGTCAGGGATTCCTCATTACCCACTAGCCCAGTCTGTACAGCGTTGACGATATCTGCTCTGTCCGTGCTTCTTCCCACATGCCTTAGTGCAATGCTTGCTAGTTGGTCTGCTCGCTCATTTCCCTTTACGCCTGCATGACCAGGTGTGTAGATCCAGGTAAGGGAGGTTAAGTGCGATTTTCAAATGCTTCCTACCCATTCAGAGGGTAAACCACCAGGAGTGTTGATCACTAATTAAAGTTTTTTAAATCCTATATTATTTATAAATTGCTGACAATTTTCATGTAAGGATTCTGTGTCAGCTCATTCTGTTTTGAGAAGACTTCTGTGTGTCGATTAGTTGAGTGTTGAATTGAGAATCGACAAAACAGCACTCGGGACACCCCCATAAGTGCTCAGTCCCCATCTTCAGCAGCAAGCAAAGAGTTCCAGTTCTGATGGTATCAGTAACTGTCTGATTGTATTTCTGTCTCATCCTTCCCCTGAGTGTTGAGCTTTGGCCAGATCCCCTGCTAACTCCTCGCAGCGCCATTCTCCTCAGACAGTAATGATCCATCTGTGCCACGGCACTGTTCACTCGCTGCCAAAGGGTCCTCACAATAATAAACTTGTCATACATCCATTCACCACCAAGTGGTGCAGAGCCAGCCAGTCCATCTGCCTGCTCATTTCCCAACACACTGGCATTACCTAGAGAAAATATCCAAAGATGCTAACTACCGGGACCTCTGAAGTGATGCTTGCCACTCTGCACAAAGCATGCCTGTTTTCACCTTTCTCAACATGCTCTGTGAGTCGGTTACAATTATGGCATGTGTGATCAGTTGCTCATTACAGGACCAAGTAATTGTTAGATGTATTCAGTATTGTGTGGAGTAATAAGTTTTTAAGACCTATGCAAAGTTAATTTAATTGTTCCAAATCATCATAAATTTTATGACTGGAGCTTCTACAATTTATCAAATCATCATATATGTCAGTCCAGATACATTTTCCATATGACTACATGCTGAAACCACCAGAGATTTTAAAGTAATTTTATCTCATCACATCACTACACTTTGTGACTTGAAATTACAGTTATCCCCCGCCCCCTTTTTTTTTTCAAAGGTGATACCTCAAAACATCACATGTGTAAAATCTTAAATATAATTTTTTTCGTAAATGTAAAATTATAATGAAATTATAAACACAAATTTTGCACATGAGTTCTTGTGGGATGTATTTATTAAATGATCATATTGTGGCTCAGTTGATTTTAAGGTTAAAACAGTGGAATAGCCAGATTTATTAATACCCTGTAACCAAACGTAAAAATAAAAGTCAAAGAACATATTTCGTGATGTCTGAAGCAAGGAAAACTGTGTGCTAACCTTAAATCTTGTGACCAAATGCAAAAAGTCACAGAAGACATTGTATGAGCTCTTGCCACTTGATATAAAAAGATGCGTCAAAAATTACCTGCACTTTGGCTGTGCAACCTTGCCTGTTTCATTGGGTCAACAAGGCTGTTGTATTTTCTTTTTAAATATAGTGAAGGGTGAGCCAGGACTGGTCAGTGTGCATTCTAATGCACTTCAACAGAGATTGGTCTACATCCACGAAAGGCTGCTTTTAGAAGTGAGGATGATTAAAACAGCTAAAAACAAAGCTTTTGCTTTGTAAATAGACCAGGCAGGGATGTTGGAGAGGGGGAACTAAAGCAGTGCAGCCCGGCCTGCAGAAGTTTTTTTAAATAACTGCTAGAGTGCAGGTATTTGTTTTAACTTGCTTTCCTATAAAAATGAGGCATGTCAGTGATCATATTCAGCATTTTTAATTGTCACTGTGAAATAATACTTAAGTGCTCTTCATTTGTTGAGATTATTGACATCCTTTATGCAACTTTATAGATTCAAATGTTCATGTATACTCAATTTTTTTTTTCATATCATTTGATGTGAGACAGTCTGACAAAATGTGGAACTTTTAAGCATGATTTTTACTGCAGTATCTCCTCTTCTTCTTTGCGATCGGTTTTGAAGTTGTAGGTGGAGCTGGCAAGTCTGCAAAATGTGTTGAGGTGTTTGTGGTCCCATGTGACATGCACACTGTGGGAACTGTACAGTATTTATTTCATGCATGTGATAGTTAAGCCTGCAGGATTCTGTTCAGCTGGCAGGGCAGTTTTCTCTTCCATGTTGTCTCATGGATCCCTTTGAGTCGCCTGACATGCAGTCACACAGGAAATCTGTTTGGTTCCATCAGTAATTGCTTGCTGCTCTACTCTGAAGTTTGTTGAGTTTTCCAGAGGCACATGACATTTCTACTATGGTACCATCTTGCAGTGTGATGACGGAACCAGCTCCTCTGTTTGTTCCTGTGTGTCCTTTTAGGTTTTGGGTATAGAGTTGTAGACATGTTAAAGGGTCTTTGCATGTAGAATACTAGGTCACATTCTTCAGCCTTTCTGTATGTCGCACTAGGTCACATTCTTCAGTCTTTCTGTATGTAGCACTAGGTCACATTCTTCAGCCTTTCTGTATGTCGCACTAGGTCACATTCTTCAGTCTATGCCTGGGATTGTTGTTGTAACTCTACGTCTGTGTTTTATGCCTGGCTTCCTACATTAAAAGGTTTTTAGAAAGAATGTCACTGGTTTTTTTTTTTTTTTTTTGGTTGTGCACAACAGTTTTGAAAGATGGTGAAAGGTTTGTAGAGAATACCTTTTTTTCCCTGCAATGCCTCCAGCTCATTTATTTATGTGCTTCCCCAGTGATGATTCTGAATCCCATTTTTCTGGATTGCCCAGTTTGTATATATTTGGCTGCAGTGGAGAATGCTCCCATCTCTTACTGTGATGGCATCTGCACTCCATGGGGGGTTTTCCCTTTTAAAAAAAGTACAGATCAGTTCAGTGAAAAGAATGAATACAGTTGAAACATATTTAGTCTAGACCAGTCAACGTGTTCCTATTATGTTTAGCTTGCGTCCATCATAGTTGTGAACTGTTTAGGAGGTCATTGATGAAAAAAACAGGCTAGGAGATATTAAAACCTCTTTTAGGGACACCTTCTTGTAATCTGGTGTTCTTCTGTGCAGCATCTGTAAAAAAGAAAGTTTTTTCCAGACCTTATGAAAGGTTTTTGGTCAGGTCAAAGAAAGTAACTAGCTAGCATTTTGTATTCAAGGAGGCTTGGGATGGTAACTAGGGTGTTTATCAATCCTTCAGTTTCTGGTGCTGTCTATGAGCCATTATTGTTTTAGTACCCAACTGTTCAGAAAAACAGGTCTTTTTCTCAGTTGTGTAACGTAACAAAGTTGGTGATATCGCCAGCTTCTATGCCTCTGTAACATGGCTGTGTTGTCAGTCGTTTTTGTATATAAAGCCTTGATTGTGTTTTGTCACTATGAATGCTGTAAATAGGTGTTTCACCTCAAAGTCAACTGAGAATATTTACTGCTTGCAGTCAGATGTTGAATGGTGTCAGTCTCCACCATTTCAGATGCTTAGTGTTTGCCTGTCCCCACTGTTTCAGATGCTTAGCGTTTGCCTGTTTACTGGGCCATTTCTCATGTCATTTGCTATCTTTAGGATCCTGAACTTTTTAGGCATGATTCATTTACCTCAGCCATTAAATTGTTCAACAAGCCATTGTTTGTTGTTTTGCATGCT